AGCACTGATGCGTGGCAAATTCATTTTAAGAAAAGAGTTATACTCGCTTCGGCCAATCGCATCACTTACATTGTAACTAGTAGGACCGTCTATTACAAAGAAGACTGTGGTCCTAGTAGTCGTCCCTATAGTTATGTCCAATGGCATAACTCCCTTAGCTGAAGTTGCTCCTCCATTGAAACTCGTAAGGATGACTTCTGTAGGAATCATGTCACCCTTCGTCTTTGCGAACTTCCTCATCATCCTAGATGGAATGGTGTTTATAGCTGCTCTATTGTCGATAAGCACTTTTGTCACAGGGATGCCGTTAACTAGAACTTTAACGTACAATGGCCTCAAGTGTTTAGTCAATTTCATGCATGACCATTTAAAAATAACCTTTTCGACAGCCTCTATTTCTACTTCCTGCTTGTTTTCTGTCGAATTATCCCCCTGTGATAAGTCGACGTGCAGCATATCGTGCTGAGCCTCTGTCTCCTGAATCTCCTCCTTACTGTTTTCTAATGCTTCCTCATCAGTTACCCAACCTGTGGGAGGGGGCATTATTCTTGGAGGTGATCCATACTTTTCAGAGTGAGGCACCCTCTTCTTCCTTTTGGACGTCCCGTACAGTACGTAGAAATTGAAAAGACGCCCAGATGGTTCTCCCAACAAGTCTACTTTGCGAACTCCCTATCGATGTAGTTGCTTCAACAGAGTATTGTGCGATACTCCTGTCCTTCTTCTTTCTGCTTCTAGGTCGATTTCTTCTTCGATTCTGTCATCCCGTCGTCTTCTTCATCATTGTGAGCCTCTCTAGAAGTCTGGCCTTCTTCACATTCCAGCACGCAAGTCTCTCCTTCGTTGTCCTCCCTTTCTTCTTCTTCTTTTTCTTTATTCTTAAATTCATTGGCCAATAAGTAATTATTGGCCACGACTGGAGGTAACGTACCGAACTGGATAGTAAGGGGCTGATCTGAATTTTCTCCATCCCTTTTGTCCCGCTTAAACTTTGATCTCCTAGAAGAAGTTTCTGGCAGTTCTTTCATTGATTCATCTGTACCGGTCTCTTCACTATCTTTGAGAACATTTTGATTGGTTACCCTGAGTAGTTTAGGCGCTTTAGGATGTGAAACTCCCTGTTGCTGCCTCATCATTCGTCCATAGTTTCGTTGAAAACGCCTTTGTTGGGTTCTAGTCATCTCATCGAAGGGTACTACTCTTCCTGCATTATACTGGAACGAATGTCATACATTTGACCAGCGAGGTTATGGCCTGAATGTTCTCCCATTATCTGCTGGCCTGAACTGCCTCTCAAAAGGCGGTCCTCTATAGAATGATGTACCTCGCCCTCTACCAGGCTGAGTGTTTGGGAAGAAAGTAGGGCGATGGGGATGTTACCATATCCCTAGTTTCTCCGTGTTTCCACTCACTTCTCTTTTACATCTTGCACACAGGACGTCTTCGTCCTTTTTTGGTTCTTTCCCCTTGATTCGTTCAAAAACACTGGGATGTGTTCTAGGATCCTCTTCTCCATCATCTATGATCAACTTGAATTTTGACAACTTGTTTTTGAAACCAGACGTCACCATGTTTACTCCAAGTGGCTATGGAAAAGGACTTTCATCCACTGCCATCTTCTTCTTATCGTCGAACGTAATTCGTCCTGATTCAATGGCATCCTGCAATACATGGCGAAAAACCAAGCAATTGTTAGTCAAATGGGACCATGCATTATGCCACTTACAATATTTTTTACCCTTAATTTGTTCAGGGTTTGGCAATTTATACTGATCACTCAGCTTTATCTGCTTATCCCTACATAATTTATCAAATATAATGTCAGCTTTGGTTACATTGAACGAGAACGTTCTAGCCTTTATGTTTCCATCTTTCATGGGCTCATCTTTGCCTGATGGTCTAGGCTTAGCCATTATAGGACAAGTATACGTATTTCCTTTGACCAGTTCGATCAAACACATTTCGGCCTGATCGTATGACTCGTCCCTGATTGTATGAACGTTAAAATTTGGGTCTTTGTAATAAGTCTCTTTACTAGAATTTTTCATCTGCTCTTCCTCTCTTATCAGTCGTTCATACCTAATCACATTCGTACTCAACTGGAAAAGGTCAGGAAATTTCTTGTCCTGGAATTTCTTTTTTAAATCAAAGCTCAAACAACCCTGAGCGATTTTGACAAATTCTTTTTCGGGCAGAAGTACAAAACACTTGCTTCTTGCTGTCTTGAACCTTTGGGGAAAACTTTCTGCCCATTCGTTTGGCATTTGACGTAGATTCGCCAAATCAGCCAAAGTGACTTCAGACTTAGTTTTATAAAACTGAGCGTGGAATAACTGTTCCAATTGTTGCCATGTTTGAACAGAGTTCGCTGGCAAGTTGATGAACCAGGAAAAGCTACTCCTGTTAATGAACTAGGAAAAAGCCTCATTTTATGGTAATCAGTTACATCACGGCTTTGCAATATGAATCGCCCTATGTGTTCTAGAGTAGACTCCTCTCCTAAACCGATAAACAGTGAGAATTCTGGCACTTTATATCCTCTAGGCTATGGATATGCTTGGTCTACCCAATCAGGATATGACTTTGTGTAAGTCGGCCTAATGACAGGACGCACCCAAAAAGCTATTTGATCCTGTACGATTTTCATAATCTGATTCCTCAACATGACGTTGGGGTCATATGGAATTCCTACAGGTTGGTTAACCGGTTAATTTGCATGAGGCCTGATGTTTGGTCCTTGATTGGCAACAAAGTTACCATGATTAGAGCCATTACCATTAGCCTGAACATCTATTCCCTCATTAACACGTGGGGTATTCTGTCCATTGTTCAGGACATTATCTCTTACATTTTGATTACCCCCCAAGTTAGGCGTACCACTACCATTGTTCTGATTTGGCACTGCACCACCCCCTTGGTTTGAAGTAGAGGGACTAGAAAGTGGTTCTACCCCTCGATTCGGATTTAGGACTGAGGGATTATGTCCCACAATTGTCCTAATTTGAAAGTGGTTTGCAAGAGGTATAGCCGGTTGACATGTTTGGCTTATTAACTTATTCATTATTTCGTTCAAAGTGTTTAGTTGTTTGGCCATGTTGTCATAATGTGCATTCCCATTTTGGGTAAATCTTTCCATATTATAAATACTTCGAAGATTTACCTGTTCAATGACATCTTGTGTGAGTTCTCCAAGTAGTGCACGCATGGTTCGAGGACTCAACTCTGTCATTGGTTCGTAACGACTGTCATTGCTTTGATTCTTTCCATCTGTTCGTGGATAGGCATGCTGCTCCTCATATCGCTCGATCACAGATTGGATTCCTCCCTGACTTGCTGCTTCCTTATCTGATCTCTGAGGTATATTGTTTCACCTTTTGTATTTTCAACACCAAAAACCACTGTCCCACTGGGCGTGCCAAATTGTTTGGCACGGGTTCGTCGCTAACAATTAAAAGGGATAAGACGATTGTGTAAGGGACAAACCTCTTGAGACAAAGTCCCAAAAAGGGGTGTTCTTTATTGGCTATGACTTTACAATCGGAAACTAAAAACAGAATGCCTCCAAGGGGCGCAAACACACGAGTTACTGAAAAAATTGTTTAAATCTAAACTAAGAAATTTAAAATTACATGTTCTCTGTTCGAGAGTTTTTGATTCGGGGGTCCTTTACTCTATGTCTTTTCTTCTTTTTATACTCCCTGGATGATCTCTTTGTGATCAACTGCCTAAAAATCGCTTGATCGTTCTATAACTGCCCACTTTCCTCGTAATGGCCAACTTGTCATGGAACTACCTTTTTTAACTGCTGCCATTACTCTTTGTCTTTCAACCGTTTTCGATTAAATTTCTTGAATCGTGGAACGTGATAGGGCTGCTTAATAACTGCTTTGATAACTGCCCTTCTTGATAACCATAACACTTCATGTTTGCTAAGACCTTGGGCGACTCGAAGGTTCGGGCGAGAATAGAGTAGCAACTCTGGGCGACTGCATGACATTCCATTCGCTCAGATCCTGGGCGACTTGCAAGTTTGGACGATGGTGTTACCGCATTCACGGGCCTCCCTATTTGGGCCTTCATCCTGAATTGTCTGATTGAGCTTCATTCTTTGGGCTATTTGATTTGGGGATCCTCCAATTGGGCTTCATTTCTTGGGCCATTCGATTTGGGCTGAATTTTTATGTGTCAACATGTTTAAGTGAATTTGAGGTATTAGCATATTATTAGAATTAGTAGTATTTGTTAACGTCGTCCCTTGTTGTCTGATTGCTCCTGCTTCTATGAAGCAAATGAAAGTTGTGAAATGATATAAAGTGATCGGTATAAAAGGACTTAGTTTGCATGACGGGTTTCTTCCGAAGCACGGACCACATTTTTTTATTTTTTGGTTCCATAAATTTGATTAGTTGTTGAAATATATATACAACAGTACTATGGAAATGTTTAACTGGCTATGTTGCTAGAAGAAATGAACTAATTCTTGCTGAAATCTACCTTAAACTACTAGGGTTACCAAATTATGCTAGTTCTATTGCGCATGACATGGAAATTTTAGTTTAAGATATGATTAACGTTTTGCCTAAATAAGAATCTAAAACATCGTTGCTTTATCATACCATATACATCTTTGTGTTCATTTTCCCATTTATCTGCTATATCTATGTCACCTCTACACACCCAATGAACTAGTAAAATTTTAACCCATTAGATTAATCATAATTTGTTGACTTGTTATTTTTATTTTCTGCTTCTTTGTCATTCTAAATTATTCATCTTAAAATTTGAGGGGAAAAAAAAAACTTTTTGTGTGGCAATTTGGCAATTACAGCAATGCTTAAAATTTGAGGGGAAAAAAACAAAAAGACTTTCTTCTCATTCTTGTTTGGCAACTGCGGTAGACTAAAGAAATTGAAATTGGACTCTCCTGTTTCAACCAATCATTTTGGCTTTTTGTTCAGCATATTGTAGCAGTTAAGGTACTAGTATATATAGTTCAAAAATGATGGCTGTACGTGTTGGCACCCAATTCCTGCTTTAATTCATAATCATTCCTATCTTTCCATTTTATCAACTCCAATTCAAATACAGAGAGTCAGAGTTTGCTCAAGCATGAACAGGATGGGAACTGGAAGTTGTAACAACTCCAATACAATTCCACTACTCACTCCTTACAAAATGGGAGAGTTTGTCTCTCTCACAGGTTCGATTCCGATTTATTTTTAGTACATCAAATTAGTTTCTTTCTCATTGCTTTAGTTTAGATTAGCATTTAGGTTACATTGTTTGTTTCTAACATGTTCTGTTAATGTTTGCACAGAGTAGTTTTAGCACCATTAGTTAGAAACAGATCTTACAATAATATTCCACAGCCACACGCGGCATTATATTATTCACAGAGAACTACCAAAGGTGCTCTCCTTATTACTGAAGCAACTGGAGTATCAGCTACTGCACTAGGGTAAGTTGTTTCTAATAACAATTGCAATGTAAAGAATTTTATCCTCACATGATGACATAGCTAGTATATTTAATGAAACTTGAACTCGAGACCTAATACTGAATTCATACTTAGTGTGTGTGTGATGGAACTTGAACTCAAGACCTAATACTGAATTCATAGATTAAACTGAGCCCTATTGGCCCAAATTTTACTATTCTAGGATTCGAAATTCTTTTATTTTTGTTGTGCATTTTTTTTTAAGTAGGTCAAATTAATATAAATCTTTGTGCTCAAATGGGTAAACAAGGTGCTTTATATATAGATTCACGCGTCTTTTTATGTGTTCATAAGATTTTGTGTGTGTGTGTTTTTTGCTCTTTGAGGTAGAGGTGTTTAGCCTATTGATAAATTATTTATAAATATTTTATTTTGACTTTTTTTTTCCTGATATTTGAGTGATCTAATCACATAGATATCCAGATTACATCTTCATTTTAATCAATCATTAATAGTGGATTCCGAGATACACCTGGAGTTTGGACAAAGGAGCAAGTGGAAGCATGGAAGCCAATTGTAGATGCAGTTCATCAGAAGGGTGGAATATTCTTTATGCAAATATGGCATGCCGGCCGTGTCTCTAATTATAGTAAGTTTTTTATGTTATATTTATCGATCATTACTAAAACGCATCAAGGGTGCCTTAAAGACAGCAATGCTACCAGTAGGATCATATCTATAAGTAAAAATGAGTAGGTTTACTCAGTTTATTTGGTTCATGAAGGATATATAATGTGCTATGGTTCGTTTAACAGGTTTTCAGCCGAATGAACAAGCTCCAATATCATCAACAGACAAGGGAATTACCCCCGGCCACGAAGGAGGAGAGTGGTCTCCCCCTAGACGACTGAAGACAGATGAAATCCCTGGTGTAGTCAATGATTTTAGGTTGGCTGCTCGTAACGCTATTGAAGCAGGTTAGTACCCTGATTTGTTTCATCTAGTGCATGCAGCTGGAATTTTTCAAGAATGGCCTAATAATATTGGCAAGTAACAAAAGGGAGCCTTTTAACTCGTATTTTGCCTTCTCTATTGCACGATTTGATGGCGTTGAGATTCATGGTGCATATGGTTACTTAATTGAGCAGTTTATGAAAGATGAAGTAAATGATAGAATAGATGAGTACGGTGGGAGCTTGGAAAACCGGTGTCGATTTGCACTTGAAGTAGTAGAGGCAGTGGTCAGCGAGATTGGAGCTTACAGAGTCGGGATAAGATTGTCTCCATATTCTGATTTGATGGAGGCAAGCCACTCAAATCCTAATGCTTTAGCACTTTACATGGCTAATGCACTTAATAAGTTCAACATTCTCTATCTCCACGCGATCGAACCGAGGGTGATGCCCGAGACCGAGGATGAAAGCCCCCATAGACTCCTTCCAATGAGGAATGCTTTCAAGAATACTTTTATTGCTGCTAGTGGCTATAACAGAATTAATGGCAACAAAGCTATTGCAGAAAATTATGCGGATTTGATTGCATTTGGACGCCATTTCTTGGCTAATCCTGATTTACCAAGGCGATTTGAGTTGGATGCCCCTCTTAATAAGTACAATAGGAGCACTTTCTACGTTTCGGATCCCATCATTGGTTACACAGATTATCCATTCCTGGAAGATGCTTAGGGCATGGTTAACAGATATGATCCTTTTCCGTCTAGCAATTTATTGTTTGCTTTGGATATTTGAACGGTCTCTCCTTATTTATCTTGCATTACTGTTTTTATTAAATAATAAGAGCAATTATGGAAGGGGGGAAATCACTATTTGCCTATTCTTAAAGGAGTATTCTTTGCCCAACAGGTGATAAATAGTCCATGTAAGTACTCTCACCTGTCAAATTTTGTGACCATTTGTATTATGTGTGGAATGTTGCATTCCATATTATTTATGAAGGACGTGACTGATGTATATTTTTTTAATAACATATTTTATGTAAAATGATATTTTTGAAGAATGAATGGTTAAGAGTAGGGAAAAGTAATGGGTCCACATGCAAAATTATATTATAGGGAAATGTCTCGTTGAAAATAAATTCGAGAAAAAATGAGTTCTAAAAATCTATACAAACAGGCCCTAAGCATTAGTTATTTCAAATGTCTCTTGATTCTAAAACTGTCGTTCTTACGTTTTGCAATTTCTTTTTATTATTGTGTTGTTGATGATGTTTTTACAATTGTTTGTAGGTATTTTTGCACTTAGGGTCCCAATACTTCACTCCAGTAGAACTTGAGTCCCCATTCTTAATTTCTTTAGCAATCACCCCAAACTCATATAATGGGTTAACAGGGTCATATTTGTTTTGGATGGTTTCGTACGAAAATATTAAAATGCCTTGCGACTATTTCTTCGAAAACAAGCAGAAAAAGAGAATGACAAATTGTCATCGTCTCCTTTCACATGTCGTCATCTTGAACCAAATAATTCATCCATCACTGCACTTGAACCAGTTCCCATCATTCCCAATCTATTGCACCAGTCTCCTATTCCC